TGCATTTACAAATAGCAAGTTTGCAAAAAAAAGCTCGGCAACCCTCCATAAAAATTCTTTTTCTTCAAAAACACACTTTAAGGAATCTATAAGCAAAAAACCAAAGAAAATGTTTTTAACAACCCGAATTTTGACTACAAAGTAATAGAAAAATAGTAATGTTGGAACCAGCTCCTACGTCACATTTTAGTGAATATCCCGACAACTACACTACCGATCAACATGATATAGCAATAAACCGATAACCACAGTTCTAAGAAATCAATTGGTGTTAAAAAAAATCAGCAGATTTCCAAAAATAAACCAGGTAAACAACGCCCTAATTGAACGTTGGCCACCAGTTTCAATATGTTGCTGGCCAACCCGCCTACTGTAGCTCGCGTATCGCCGCGAAAAAATTTCAACAGAAATTGGAAACGTCGACGCCTATAAAATCTTTTTTGAAGAATATGTATTTAAAGCTATACTACTTGCTTTTTTTTCTTTGGCTGCCTAAAATCTTAAAAACTTTTGGGCGTTAGACATCCATGGAAGGTAACAGCACTATTGATCGATTAACCCAACGATACATTTACCAACTGTACCGTAATTTGGGAGTTTATTTGGCTAATCTTTTTTTGGGGACGAAATATAGTTGTATCGTTTATTATTTGGTGACCTTAACAATCAGATGACCAAAGTATGTTGCGATAAATCAGAAATCAACTTGTTAAGTATTATCAAAGTAACATCACAGAAAAAAAAAAGTTTTTGATAGAAAGCATTGCCTTAAGTTTAGTGGTGTTGATTGAAAACAGTAATGCTGTATCAGAGTTTAAAACATCTAAAGAGGAAAATTCCGCATATTTTACTGTATAATATGTTATGACAACACTTGTTAACAAAACTTTCATTCAGTGTTGTGCATCATTGCTATCCGAATGGATCAGCAAAGAGGAGAAGCAGTTCAGCGGATCATTAGTGAAAATACTGTACATACTTCATTGGTTACTTTTGGATTCTGCAAATGAATGCTGTGATTTTGATAACGAAAATGTAATTATTTGTTATAGCACTTATTCAGCACTGTTTATTCTGTTTTTAAAAGGAAAAAATTTCCAAGATATATCTTGTTTTGCTCAATTTTTTTCTGCAAAAAATACTGGAAATTTACAATCAACAAAAGATTAGAAAAAATTAATAGATTTTCTTGCCTTTAGGAAACATATTCAGTACGTAAATATACATTTTCGGTAAGTAGCATCCAATTGTTCGTTTATTCAATGGCTCCGTTAATAAACGACGTCAGTGAAGAACAAATTTCATCAAATATCCGCCTTGAAAGTGGCCTTCGTATATG